GTTTAAACCAGCGTTCACAAGTATCTTGAGATGGAGCATGTTCACCATAAGCTTCCCGAAGTATACGATAACTTTCAGCAGCACGTTTCTTCAAGATAAAGTAATGAATTAAAACTTCCCGCAAATGCTCTTTTCTTGGCACGAAATTCGACATTTTTAAGCGTAAAAATACCTATGATGTTAACACCGTCAGCAGATTTGACATATGAAGTTTTGAGGCTTGCTGTCAATACAACAAAATAGCATCCATATCAAGTCGCATATATGTATCAACGTATGTGTAACTCCATCTGTTGAAAAAAAATCCGCATTATTAGGCAGGAGGTAGTGGTGCTATCCTCAGTTTACAGGGAATTATGGTGTACGAAGGTTAAACAAGGACCTGGGAACAAATGTAGGGGGAAATGTCAGGACTTGGTAACTGATTCCCGAGATGAGTTGTCAGGTTTGTAGCAACAAGGGAAACCCCAACCACCCAGGATCACCAATTAAATAAGCTGTTGGCCCCGCAGGAAGAAGGCACGGAGAACCAACGTCCCTTCCCGAAGGACGTGGCTTTCGGTCGCCCTCCCGCCACCCCGCGGGGCTGGCACGGCAGGTACTGTGCAGAGTACAGACAATCATTAACAGAGAGCCTGCCCGCCAGGCCTGGCACCGGGAGCGCAGGCGGGGCCGGCTCGGCACTCACGGGTTCGGACAGTTACACAATTAACACTGGGAACATCCGGCTTCCTCCCACCCCCGGGCGCCGCTCACGTGCCCGGCCTCGCGCCCCACAGCGGAGCCCAGGAGAAGCGCGGCGGCCGGCGGGTCTCGGGCGCGGCTCCAGCGCCCAAAAGATTTGGAAACATGGCAACATATGGGAATATAAAAGTCACACCGGAATTGGAATTTTGAACGGCCAGGGGGAGGGTGTGTCCGCGGCCCGGCGCCTCCCCTGATTGGCCGGCGGGATGACGTGCACGCTGACTCTCGCCCCTGAGGCGGTGGGAACGTGCGTCAGCTTTACGCAATCGGAGAGGAAGAAGGGGCGGGTCTGGAGGCTCAGGGCGGCCGCCTATTGGCTGAGAGGCGCCGGAGCCGGAGCCGGGCGGGACCTGGCCTCGCCGGAGATGGGCGGCGCCGCGAGTTTGGTTCAGGAGGTGGGTACCGGCTTCAGTGAGACGATCATGGCAGCTCGAACCGGTCAGAGGGTCCTGAGAAAGGTGGTCTCGGGCTCGGGATGTCGTCCAAAGTCGCCGGTAGCAGCTGGACCCCCGGTTTCGGCGCAGGGGCCTACGCGGAACGTCAGGTAATAAACAACAGGGGCGCCGCGACCCGGGAAGTTTACCGCCCGGACCAGCGGAGTTGGGGGGCGCCGGGGGTCTATGAGTCGATGCGGACCCGGACCCGGAGAGAAAGGTTCCTTGGGTTCTCCATTGGAGAGACTGGGGCGCCGAGTTTACCCGCG